TCCCCACCCCGGGGTCCCTATCGATCCCGGACCTCCCGGGCGCCATCAACTTTTCCCGATGACCCCGACGACCCACTCTAGCTCCCGGCCCTGCCCCCCCCCGTGACCCCTCCGTGTCCTTTGACCTGTTCCGCCCCCATCCCTCTATCCCAGCGACCCCTTCAAATCCCGGGTCCTTGGCCCTCTCTGCCCCCCAAACAACTCCACACACACTGGGCCCGGCCTGGTGATATGACGACCCCACGGCCCTGGCCGTGGCCCCGCCTCGCCCGCCGCGCCGCCGCAGTCCCCGCCCTGGGAGGCCCCAGCCCCGGCCCCGGCCCCGCGCACCGGATCCGTATTTGATGTCGTGCGAGTGCAGCCGCACCCGGTGGTGCGTGTTGAGCAGCTTCAGCACCGACCCGCAGGTCACGAACCCCGCGCGGGTCTGGGTGCCGCCGCCGCCACGCACCGCGAGGACCAGCAACAGCCCGAGCAGCGCCGGCCCGGCAACCCAGCCACGGCCCGCGCTCCACATCTCTCCGGCCGCTCGGCGCCGGGCGCTTCCGTCCCTTCGCAGGCCAATCCCGCGCTGACAGCGCCCTAGCTCGGCAGTCAATCGCCGGGCGGCGCGGCGCTCCTCCCGCGCTGTCATAGGCTGGCTGTGGCGGGGCCCGCCCCCAGATTTCTAGAGCAGCGGCTGGGAGGGCGCTGGAGACACGAGGAGAGTTTTGATTGGTCCACGCTTGCGAGGACGCACCAATTAGCGCGCGGGGAAAGGTGGCAGCGGCTCCAAACCCGGGAGACCGCTAAGGAGCGCTTGTGGGTGGCCGCTGAGTCTGGCTGGAGGCCGAGCTCTGGGTCCTCGGGTCCTCGATCGTTGATCTTCGAGGTCTCAATTGTGATCCGTGAGCCCACAGCTGCAGAATCTTGAGCTCACTGGACACTAGATTTTTGTAGTCATCAAGTCGATGGACCCCAGAGTTACTAACTCACCTGGTCCTTCCGTCCTTAGTTCAGCTCCCAGTCACTCCGTCATCGCCTTTCTCCAACACTGCCTCACCTCACTCACCGCACCTGAGGTTTCTGAATCCCCGACCATTCAGAACACTGGCTCCTTGTCAATAGGAAAGAAACTAAAATTCACTGCCATGGAGTCGAGTGGATTGAGGCAGTATCTCTACGGAAGTAGATTGCCCAATCTTCCTTCCGAGGAGTGGCTGGTGGGTTTGAACCACCAGGCTTCTGGTTAGCAGTAGTAGTAGTAGCTTAGGCACTACAGCACCAGAGATCCTAACCCTCAAGGCCACTTAATTATCAGACAGCAGGGAGCTGCAGTGTTCAGGAGAATGGTAGGTGCTCACTAAAAAGTCCCAAAGCTGTCTCAGCCAATCCAAAACCCCAGGAGAACCAAGCCAAGTCTGAGTGTCTGGCCAGTCATGAGGGGGAGCTTCTTCTTGCTGCCTTCTCAGAGGGCTGTCAGCTCAGTCTATGAGAGAGGAAAACTTATACCACTGTTTTCTTACTCATTCAAGGAACATCCTTGAGGTAGGACGTTCCTTCCAGGCCTGGTGCTCCAGACAGCGGAAGGCTACTACGTTCCCTGGACTGTTGCATAATGGAGGGTCTAAACAGGCACTTGGCACACCAGCAAAATGGGGAATTGTTGTCGTTATTGTTGCTAGGTGCCATCTAGGAGGTTCCAACTCATACTGGGCCCATGCACAACAGAATGAAACACTGGTCCTGGGCTATCCTCACAATCCTTGCTCTGCTCGAGCCTAGGATTACAACAGGCACTGCATCAATCCAGCTCATTGAGGGCTGTGGTCGTTCAGTTTGTGTGTCAGCTTGGCTGGGCCTGGTTGAGTGGCTGGGCAGCTGGATGTCATATTCCCCATGATGCTCATCAACTCCATGGTGGAATCTACTGTGAGCAGCTGAGTAGCTGCCTTAGGGATGTGGTCTGCTTCCCGTATACAAGGGGAAGACTTGGGGAACAGTCTCTAGCTTAGGGCATGCTTGAACCCTGCATGTAGCCGAGTCATTGTTTAGCAGCCTGCCATGCTCTGCCAACCTTGGGACTTTCAGTGGACTTAAATGAATGGTCTGCCATGTGGTTTGGTAACATCAGGACTGTGCCCTTTTACTTGTCAACCTTGGGCTTGTCAGCCTCAGCAGCCAGCAGCTGAGTGAAGAAAAGCCCCCAGCTCCAGTGGGCCGGGAGCAGGAGGCAGAAATGAAGCCCAGGGTTGAGGGGCTTTCACCCAGCCCCTAGAGCCAGGCACTTTGAACTCAGACCTAAAGCCTGCAAACTGTAATAAAATAAAGTCCTGTTTCTCCAAGCCATCCCACTGGTGGTATGCTCCTGTCAGAGCAGCACTCGATGACCAGAACAAGGGCCTTTCCCTTTTTTGCTGATCTGCGTTATCAATCATGATAGGCTTCTCCAGGGATTGGTCCGTTCTGATAAGATGACAGACACAAGTAGGTGAGACAAGGTCTGCCCATTCTCATGTCTAAGGAGTTTTCTGGCTGTACTTCCTCCAAGACAGATTTGTTCATTCTGCTGGCGGTCCATGGTACATTCAACATTCTTTGCCAACATCACAACTCAAATGTGTCAATTCTTCTGCGGTCTTCTTAATTCATTATCCAGCTCTCACAAGCATATGCAACAACGCAAGACACTGCCGTTGAGTTGGATTCAACTCATAGCGACCCCTCCTTGGGTTTCCGAGGCAGTATCACTACGGAAGTAGTTTGCCCAACCTTCTTTCTGAGGAGTGGCTGGTGGGTTTGAACCACCAGCCTTCTGGTTAGCAGTCAATGCCTTGGGCACTATGCCACTAGAGCTCCTC